CAGAAAAAGTTTAATAAAGATAATATAGAAGACTATCTATGCAGAGACATCCACATAGAGCGCAGTCAAGCCCAACAATGTATTTGAAGAGACTTTTAGACATATACAAATGTGTAGCTAATAAATGTTCACTGCCTTAACCGGAACTTATCATTAATCAAAATGAGCTAGGAATGAGAAAGTATGTGTTGTTACTTTAAAAAGCTAATTAATTTTAGCCTATTTTAATGGAATTCTGGTGAGTAAGGGCTGGGAATAGATTCTTTCAGTGTATTTTACAATTGTCAGGCCCCCATTAAAGTTTAGGTATTATGTTTTGTCCCCCAAAAGATGAAGAATGGAGAAAAACCATAAAAATGGTAAAAGGGATAGAAGATAGGGCATTTGGAAAAAAAAAAGATTGTTTGGCCTGGAAAAGAAAAAGTAAAAGAGGGCTTTAAAGTATCTCATGAATATGAAGGGTTATTACAAGGAAAGTAGTAGGTTCTTAATCACTAAAGTGAAACAAAATTAAATTAGCTTACACTGAAGAAAGAATGTACTGATAGTGTTGATGCAGTCCAGTGTCATTGAGGACACAGACATTAAAAATCTCAATCCCTAGAGATCTTTACAGGCTAGAGTGGGTATGAGGGTATCCCACTGTGATACCTCACCCCATGATTACCATGCATATTCCTCCTGCATCTGATGTCTGTGTTGCAAAGAAGTGCTTCTAGAAAGACAGGACCACAGGATTTGGACACACAGGACCTTTTAGAATTTTCTTGATTCTTTCCTTAAAATTCAGTAACTGGAAAATTCCTTGAAATACATTCCAGTTTTTTTTTTTAACAAAAGGATAAATGGCAGACAATTGATTGCCCACCTGTAGCAGATGCTGTTGGTGCTCTGCACATATCATATTCATATGTTCAGTGTATGCTGATGACACCGTGAATCTCCACCCCAGGGCTTTCTCCTTACCAGTGTGTAAGGCAGTTATTTGTCTTTACTGGGGCTAATACAAAATCTGGGTATGGATTTGCCAATCTTGCCCACTGAGTCTTGGCAGTACCACAGTCTCAGAGCTCAGAGAGTGTCTGATTTGCCATCGTGGAATCTTGCATAACATCGTTCTGCCATCAAGGGACTCATTTTATGGCAGAGTAGCAATGATGGGCCTGTGACTATAGGATCCATGGGTCCTGTCATAATACTTCATTCCCAATAAGTACTGCCTGATCAAACTCTTTTTTTTTTTTTAAGTAAACTTTACACTAAATGTGGGTCTTGAACTCATGACCCTGAGATCAAGAGTTGTATGCTCGGACGCCTGGGTGGCTCAGTCAGTTAAGCGTCTGCCTTCGGCTCAGGTCATGATCCCAGGGTCCTGGGATCCAGTCCCGCATCGGGCTCCCTGCTCCGAGGGGAGCCTGCTTCTCCCTCTGCCTCTGTCTCTCATGAATAAAAAAAAAAAAAAAAAAAAAAAAAAAAGAGTTGTATGCTCTACCCACTGAGCCAGCCAGGTACCCCCTGCCTGATAAAACTCTTAAAGGTCTCAGCGGTGCTTAAGAGCCAGCTTGAGGATGATCCTCTTTTGGAGTGGGGCCCTGTCCTTCAAAATGCCCTTCATATAGTTTGAACGAGAGGACAAACAATGTTGTGTTTCCAGTTGCTAGACGAGCCTCTCCCAGCCCTAGTAGACGATGTATGAGTGAGCTAAGTTTATCAGGGCAATTTCATTTGTTAGTGACTGGTTTAGGGGAAGTGGGCTGAATGCATCTTAGAAAGATGGGGCTCCCCGAGAAACGCATACTGACACGTAGGGGAAGCTGCCGTTCCCTTCTGGGTTTGGAAGTATTGTGTAAACATAATGCTCGGAACCGTGCAGCCATCTTGTAACCACGAAGGGAGAGAACATAAACGCTGAGCATGGCTGGGCGAAGAGACAGAAGGAGCTAGTTCCTCACGATAACACCAGTGAGCCTTCGAAGCAACCCTGGAATTGCCTTTCTCTGGGCATTTTAAGAGAGATTAACAGATGGTTTTATTGTTTGAGCACTTTTAGTCAGAGATGGGTACTTTCAGGTGATAGCTGTAGCAGACACTGCTGATAAGGCTTTCTTTCTCATATTTATTCCTTCCCCTGACTGCTTCCGTGTTGACGGTGCCTGCCTTCCATTAGAGAGGTAGGCCAAAACTGCAAACACTTTCCCAGCATCCCTTGCAGCTAGGATGTGAACATGTGACCCAACTCCGACCAATAGGACTTCAGGATCAGTCTGTAGCCAGTCATCTGAGAAAGGATTTCCTCCTTAATAAGAACTGGCGGGGCACCTGGGTGGCTCAGTTGGTTAAGCGACTGCCTTCGGCTCAGGTCATGATCCTGGAGTCCTGGGATCGAGTCCCGCATCGGGCTCCCTGCTCGGCAGGGAGTCTGCTTCTCCCTCTGACCCTCCTCCCTCTCCTGCTCTCTGTCTCTCATTCTCTCTCTCAAATAAATAAATAAAATCTTTAAAAAAAAAAAGAACTGGCATTAGGAAACATGCCCCTAGTTTCTGGCCAGATGCTGTTGTGTCTTCATGTGACACCTGAAACCACGACTGCCATCTGTGACTAAGATGGCTTAAGGATGAAGCCGATATGCTGAGATGGAGTGAAAGATGGTCAAAGCTCAGATCCTCAGTCACATGGCAGTCTCTGGATCCATCTTGGACTTGCCCTGCCTCTTGAGTTATCTTTATGTGAGGCAAATAAATGCCATGGTTTTCTGTTGAGTGTTTTGCTCTTTGAAGTCAGAACCATTTTGACTCAAGCATAGAGTAACTTCTGCTACCTCAGCTCCCCCACTCCTCAATTCCCAGAAATGAAAGAACAAAAAGGTTTCTGTTAAACTTTTGAACACTGGCTGGCCCTGGTTTTACATTATAATGATTATGGAAAATGTTAGCAGTAGTTTGCCACACGGTCACAGACTATTTCTGCGACCCTTCACATAAAACAGATCATTAAGTGTTCTTGAGAATTACAAAGACATCTCCCTGAATTCCCCTGTAATTTGGTAAAATAACAAAACTATAAAAGGTACTGTTGGATGTTTTTGAGTTGGCCGTTATAGTTTCTGAACTGAGTTTTTCTAAAAAGAGGGAAAGTGAAGCCAAATTCCATAACTCTCAAACGCTCTAAATAAAAATAAAAATAAACTGAAAACTTTTCTAAAAGAAAAGCAACTGTGCATGTACTATTTTTTTAAAAAGCAAAACTTCTAGAGACTAGAAAAATTATATTTCTGTTTAGCCTAAGCTAACAAGATGAGAATTTAGAATTTTAATTGCAAGGAATATTTTCTTTTAAAAATGTCATATATATGTATGTATATACGCACATATTTTATGATATAGAAAGAGCTAATGAAGATGTTAAGATGTTGCTGGAATTCTATTAGTTTGCTTTGTGCTTATTGATGGGAAAAAAGGTTTAATATTGGTTTTCCTAAAATATATATATACATATATATTTATATTTGCTTTCCTCACTTGGAAATTACTTATTTTCCTAGAGGCTTTTCCTGGTTTTGGAACTACCCCTTCTACTATACTTCCCTCTGCATGCAGAAAAATGGTGATCTTTTTAGATAATTCTGCATTCCATTAGTCTTCAGGGCCTATCCTTTGATAGCATCTCTATAGATTAGCAGCAACTGAACACATTTTCTCTTGGAAAAACAGGTTGCCTGAGTCAGGTATCCATTCCTTTAGGTCGCTAAATTGGCCTGGGGCCCAAGGTGAGTGAGCTTTCTTTGCTCCGTGCATCATCACTCCACCTAGTTCAAGTTCAGACGCCTTCACTGATTTTAGAAATTCTCTTGGGAAGGGTGCCCTTGCTTTTAGCCTGAGGCTGGCTCAGAAACGTCACCTTTCACCTACTTAAAGAAAAGTTTTGCATGGCAGGGAGATTTACTATTCAAGTAGCTATTTCTAGCTCCACTGCTTAAAAAAAAAGGAGAGAGAAAAAAAAAAAAAAAGAAAGAAAAGAAAACCCAAACTCTCCAAATCAGTTTCATTTCCTGTGGTATCAAATCTGACTTAATGTTGTAACTTTGTTCACAGACCAACTAAATATTTCGTTGGGTTAAAAAAAAAAAAAAAAAAAAAAGCCCAACCCTCCTACCAATAGAGTAATGAGAGTCGTCTTTTTTATAGAGCACTGCAGTTGTGAGTCATTTGTGTTATGGTTTGCATTTGATTGCTTGTGGGGAGGCAGTGTACCTTGCACTCATGTCTTTTTTCCTTGTGTAGTGTTTAAAATGAGATAAACTCTTTCAAATACAGAAACACTTCTAGATTCAAAAGAAGAATGTCTAAAAACAGTAGTTTGGAGTAAACTTTAGCCTTTGAAAACAAGTATCAATCTTGTATGAATAGTGCGTGTATTTAAAGAAGATGGGTTATTTGCTGGGTTAGGTGAAGCCATAGCAAGAGAAATAATAGAGGGATTTGCTTTGAGTCTTTGAGCCCCTGTCGATTCGGGTATTTCCGAAAATCATTTTATTTTACAGAATTTGACAACAATGTGTGCAAGGGCAGGATAAATGATCCACTTAAGGATGAAAATAATACGCGTATTATTTCATGATCTATGTTAAGATTTAAACACTACAGCAGTAACTGCGTTTCTAGTTATTTTTTGGGTAGGCGTGAGGGGCGGTCTTCCTCCGCCCCCCCCCCCCGACGACCCTCCAGCCCTCCGCCCACGTCGCGGCCGCCGAGCCCGCCTCCCCTCCCCCAGCCGCCGCTGTCCGATCCCTCCCGTCGGCCAGGTCCCCACCCCGCGCCAGTGGCGGCTGGGTCCCGTCCGCGGCTGCTCCGCGAATGACCCGTAGTAACCCCGTCCCGCCCCTGGCCGACCGCGCCGCGCTCCCCGGCCGGAATTCGATAGGCCCAGCCCCGCACGCGCCACCGCCCGCGGGCCAATGGGCGGCGGCCTCGCTGCATATGCAACGAGCGCCGGCCGGGGGTGCGCGTCCCGGGCGGTTCGGCTCAACAGACGCTGCTCTGCCGGCGCCGGCTTGCGTCGCTGCGGTTGTCTCCGCGGCCGGGGCTGGGACGAGGCGGCGGCGGCAGCGGCAGGGACAGTAGACGGTCGCCCCCTTGCAGTGCGGCCGCGGCGCCTGCGCCAGGGTCCCCAGGAGGCGGCACGGGGCGTGAATGCTCTGGGGGCGCGGCCAGGCCTGCGTGGGCCCGAGGCTGGAGGAACCGGGGCTCCGGCGTCGCGGTGAGTGCGGTGCCCGTTGTGGGAGCGGCGGGGGTCGGTCGGCGGCGCGGCGTCGGCGTGCGGCGGGGCTGGGCCCGACTCGGGGGCCGGATGTGGCCGCCGAGCCGGGCCCCGGGCATGTGCGCGCCGGGGGTCGCGTGGCGGCCCGCTGCCTGAGGGGAGACACCCGGGCGGGGTGGGAGGCGCTGCAGTGGGGTCCGGGAAGCGGGTGACGTGCGGCCTGGGCCGAAGGGCCCACGTGAGCGGGGGAACGACAGCCCGGGCGGCCGCGCATTCCAGGGGAGGAAGGGTGCCCGGGTCCCTCGCGGCGCTTGTGGGGGCGGACGGGGTGGGGGGCTGGCATCTTCCTTCGGGTGGGCCTTGACGCGGTCCCTGCGAGGAAACTGAGCCCTGCGGTTCCGGGAACCGCTGCTGGAGGGACCGGCGGGGGCGTCTTGCTGCCGGCTGTGGGGAGAAACTGGGCGGGTGAGCAGGGTCGACCTTGATGTTTGTTGTGGCCACGGTCCGATTGACCGATGGTTGGGGTTGGGAGCTGCAGGTTTACTTATCCGTAAGTGCGTTTTCATGCATCAGTAATAGAATGTGTAACGCTGAGGTCGTGCTCACTATCAGCAGTCCTGCGGGGGAGGAATCATCACGCCCGCTTCCTAGGTGAGCATCCTGAGACACGGACCTCTAACTGGTTTATCCAGTCTGGATTTAGAAAAGGTGCTCTAAGCTATGGTATATATGACCCCTCAAAAATAGAAAGGGTAGGACAACATCTTTAAAATTATATGGAAGCTAGAGGAAGAATAGGCCCTGTGAAAGCGATCACAGCCGAATACAGTGACAAGTAGTTGACATTTATTGAGACTTTATTACATGCCAGGCACCGTACTGAGTGCCTTATGCATGGTACCTTCACACAGTTAACAGCCCTCTGGGGTGATGCTTATTCCCATTTTACAGCTGGAGAAACTGCAGTTTGGACACATTAACGTGCCCCGCATCACAGCAAGTAAGAGAAGCCGGGATTCAGACACGTTTGTCTGAAAACCCAGAGCTCTTGAATCTAACCACCATATTATGCTGCCTCTCCTTGGTGGTTGGCTGAATAGTTGCCACTGTGAATTTTTTTGGGGGGTGGGGTGGGCCAGGAGAGCTGTAGTTTGATGATCTTCATTCATGATTATCACAACCTTTTTTGTTTCCCCAGATTAGTCCTGGGAGCTGAAGGTTGTTGCGGAGTTGTTCCAAAAGTGTGTAAGGTTATTGAAGGGAAGAGGTGTCGAGAGATGGTAGTCATTTGCATAGACTTTGTTCTTTGGTTTTCTGGCTTCATCTTCTGCAATTCTTACCCTTAGGGATGACTAAGACTTCTGTAATCACTGTGGCATGTTCTTTGGACTTTCCAAGATACCTTTTACAAGAAGGGTCAAGGTGACAAGTCACCTGGTGACTTGGATTCGTTAAGATATTTGGACAGGATTTAAAGCTGAAATATTCTTTTTTTTTTTTTTTAAAGATTTTTATTTATTTATTTGACAGAGAGAGAGAGAGCGAGAGCAGGAACACAAGCAGGGGGAGTGGGAGAGGGAGAAGCAGGCTTCCTGCCGAGCAAGGAGCCCGATGTGGGACTCGATCCCAGGACCCTGGGATCATGACCTGAGCCGAAGGCAGACGCTTAACGACTGAGCCACCCAGGCGCCCAAAGCTGAAATATTCTTTGAGTTTAAAATGTCCTTCTTGAAAGAAAGGAAGGAAAGAAGGAAGGAAAAAGGGTTGAAAGAAATGAAGGATGGATAAATTATGAGCGGAAAATCATACTGTGTCTGGTTGGGGGTGGGTGTCAGATCTTAAAGCCTCGGGATCTTTCTCATTGCTTATGTGCTTCCCTGCTGTCTGGTTCTGCTTAAATGACTATTTCCATTCCTCATTCAATTAATTGCTCAGCCAGAGCCTTTTAACTCATGTTATATTTTAGGTACCATGTAAGGTGCTGGAAATATACATTGAACAGAATTGATGTGATCCTTGCCCTCATGGAGGAAACAGATAGGAAGCAAATCATACAGATAAATACATAATTACAAATTATGAGAAGCGCAGTGAGGGAAAAGTGTGTGAAGGAAGATTATAATGAGGATTGTGATTTAGATGGAAATTAGGGAGTTTTTTGAATTGATCTGGTGAGGTTTTACAATCTTGCATTCTGAGTCTAATTAAATATACCTAATGCAAGAGTTTGAGAACTTTTGAACAGTAATGTTCTTTTCATTCCATGGTGTCTGATCCTACCCAGAATATCACTCTAGCTCACGTTACAAGATGGAAAAATGAGATAAGGAACTTTCTGAAGCAGTCATTCCGCCTTACAGCCTAACTGTTCTGTAACACTTAAATTTTCCCCTCTCAACGTGAACATTTGGGAACCAAAAATCTTTATGTGAGCTTGGGACTTGATAGGATTTGGATGTTTTCAGGAAAGCCAGGCCAAAAAGGTGACAGGTTTTCCTACCTTGAGATAAGTAGCATCATAATTATCAAAGGTATCCCAGGTAGTTAGACTTAACTTAAAATTCTCACCTCTTAGGAGACAAAATGATTATGTAGTTTGGGAAATACAAGCTGTTAAGTACATGAGTATTTCAGTTGAATGTGTACTAAGCCAATACAAATAATTCATTGCAATACATTTACTGAATGCCATCTGCATGCAAAGCACTGCTAGGTGTACCATGTGGAATAAATAAAAAGGTGAATTTGACAAAGTCCCGGTTTTCAAGGAGATTTAAATTTAATGAATACTAATAATCAGATTTAAGTTGCCCCCCTCCCCCCCTTTTCAAAATACTCTAATGTTAACCCATTTGATCCTCTTGGGAGCCTTATATCACCAGCGGAGATACTGAGAAAAAGGAGATTTGGAGGTAAAATTACCAGACATGGTGATTAATAGTTGGGAGAAGATGTCCAGGGATCACTAGTTTACCATCTTGGAGCCATTGGTATAGAGGTGATACTCCTGGGCTTCGGTGAGATTGCCTGTGGAGAGACTAGAATGAGAACAGGTGGAGGCCTGGGGTGGAGCTCAGTAGAGGGGACTGAGCTTGGCAAAAGAGATGGGAGGGAGGAGTGGCCAGGGAACCTCGCTCAAGTGGGAGCCATAGCTGGAGTGGTGTTCCTGCAGCCAGTGGGGGAGCTCCTCTGAGAGGGAAATTGAGTACCGTCCTATGGATTTAGCTACTCCGAGGTGATGGGTGCCCTTTTGCAGATGCTGTTGATGGGGTGGGAAGCAGAAGCAAGTAGAAGGTGAAGAAAATGGAGATAGCAAGAATAGGAAACTTTATGAGTCTTGATTTTTATCACTTAAGTTTAAATGCTGTTGGGAAGGTGTTTGTTGAAAGGGAGAGGTTGAATACAGATCAGTAAAGTGTTTGCTTATTTTTGCAAAGTTCTGAGAAGATGGAAGGGGGTGGGATCCAAGTGAGGCCTGTACCTTAGCTGGGAGGAGGGACACCTCTTCTGTAGTAACCCAAGACAGCCCTGTAACTGATCGGACACTAATCAGTATTTGATCCTGGAGCCCTGGCCCTTTTCAAAAAATTGCCAAGAACTGTTAAGTTCCAAAAAATTAGCTTAATTTTCGCTGACTGATACGGTCTTTATAGAACCTTACTATAGAAGCATTGTGTGAAATTGATTTAATATGTGATTTAGTTTTGATTTTATCCACCTTAATAGGGTATATACTTTTATCTGGCTTGTGATTATTGTTTCTCTCCTGAAAAAGGAGACCTTATAAACATTAAATCTTGTGATTTCTTCTACATGCTATTTTTAGTTTCATAAGAAACAGTTTTTAGACTACTTCTGTTTTCCTGACATTTTAAATGACTTAATTCTTTTTATTTAAAAGTTTAGCTTCTGGGGTGACAGGGCGGCTCAGTCAGTTAAGCGTCTGCCTTCGGCACAGGTCATAATTCCAGGGTCCTGGGATCAAGCTCTGCATATGGCTCCCTGCTGGGGGTGGGGGGCTGCTTCTCCCTCACCCTCTGCCGGTCCCCCTGCTTGTGCTCTCTCTCTCTGTCAAATAAACAAATAAATAAAATCTTTAAAAAAAAAAAAAGTTTAGCTTCTGTCTTTACTGGAATATCTTTACTTACATACTTCTAATATTTCCCACTCTGAGGGATAAAGAATTGGTGGATGATTCAGTGGGTTCAACTGATCTGCTAATTCTGAAATAGAACTGAAGATACCTAAATAACCTTTTGGATAAGCCACCTCCAATTACAGGTTTCTACTTGCCTTTCTTGTATTTGTTATAAGATATATAGGGAGACTGCTTTATTCATTCATATATTTAATGCCTATCTTGCAAGACGCTGGGAATTTGAAAATGATTGATAGTCTCTGTTCTCAGAGAGCTCTTCATGGTTCATGAAAGGAAGGAGTCGTATGGACATTATATGGTATGGACCTTATAAAAGAAGGTGTGAGGGCAGCTGTATTGCAGTATGGTATAATCCTTACAGCAGGGGAGGAAGAGGGGGAGACTTTCGCAGTGGAGGGGATGGCCTGGTTTTCCAAGATGAATTGGGCTGACAGGGAGCCAGGGAATAGAAAATTTTATCTTGAATTTGGTCCAGGTGTGTATGTCTACAAATATGTACATAGTGGAGATATTATAATATCAAAGAATATTAGGAAAATAAAAAGCTTATCTTGCTATCCTAAACATTGCCCAAGAGGTGAAAAGCTGTCCATTTTTCTGTATTGTCATGGTCAGCTTTTCTATCCCCTACTTGACTTAGAAAGTAACCACAATTACACTTTTCTGGTACAAAGCCTTGTTTTTCTTCAAAACAATTGGTCTTTGGAATAAGGCTAAGAGCCAACACCTTTACAGTACTTCTCTGGTCAGGCGCTGCTCCTACTTTCTTCTCACTTTTAATAGATGGAGATATAGATTTATTTTTTTAATCATTCTTCACAGATGAGGCAGTTGAGGCACA